GTCACATGTATGAAGTGGTTATATGGCTCACAGGGTCAAGTTTCCATGATTGATAGTGTGGCTTAAAAAAATACTTTCCACAAGACTAAACCAAACAACATCAGTTTGCTTTAAAATAAATTATTTGGCTGCATTGCTTTACTGCTTCAGATGATGAACTCTTTAACGTGTTGGATCTGGATCACATGTAAATGTTCTCCCTGTCTGTTTATAGATTTATCCCCTAGTCTCTGGCTGCTGATGTTCATGCACTTTAATGTGCTCCTTAATGCCGCAGACTGGATTGCAGTTTAATTGAGAGGAAACAGCACCATCTACTGTAACCTGAAGGCTTTGCCCTACATGGCAAATTTATAAAGCGCAAATAGGCCAGAGTATTAAATCTCTTTGAAATTCCTTCTGGTGTTTATTTCCTGTGCCTTTTTCAAACTTATTTCTATATTTCTACAATCACAGTTTGTCTGTAAAGTACAAGACAGCACACATGTATAATGAAAGCGTGCATCACAGAATGGTGGTTCATCTCTACACAAATAAGATTACAGAATAATATTAACCCCATCATGATTGAGTAATGTGTTATGTTTTTAAATCACAGTTACTTTAGATGGCTCAGTTGGGGTTTTCTTGATAGAAGTGGGAAGGAACTTATATGTTGTGGGCTTGTTTTACTCAGGTGATAGTCTCTTAAAATTTGTTTTAGGAATCAGCGTAGGTGTACAGTACAGTATGTGCTTTTAATGACAGTGCAATTGTCATCCATCTATACTTCTGATTCTTCTCTTTTTCCAGACTGTCTACAAAGCCTGGCTCTGTTCCCAGTATTTTGAAGTCACACAGTTTCACTGCAGCAACAGAATTCCTTGCAAGCAATACTGTTTGGAGGTTCAGACAAGGTGTCCATTTATATTACCAGACAATGATGATGTCATCTATGGAGGACTATCAAGTTTCATCTGTACAGGTATGGTGCAGATCAATATGTGTCACTAGTTTTCATTTCAAACTTAGCTTTGAAGAGTGTGGCTAACTACATTTTGTTTCCTCATAGTTTTAACTATGAGCATCTGAAGGAATTCTTCCTCAAACAGTTTCTGAAAATCTCAGTCCCATGTTACGTCTGTAACTTTAAAAAATGGTTTTAGGAGTTGATTTGATACTTTCTATGCCACATTTTCTATAGTTTAACTATGACCAAAGTTTACAAAAGCACATTTCCTATGGAAAACTGTTCTAATAATTTGTTATGCTTAATAATTTAAGAGAGAAGAGGTAATGTCTGTTATGTAATACTAAGATATTGAAGACAGAATAGTGACTTGAACTGTGAGGCTAGTGTCTGCCACATGTGCCTTTCCAGGCACTCTCACAGCTTATGTCTATCACACATATGTAAACTAATCTGCTAGACATGTCCTTCTCCTAACCTTTAAAGGGACACTGTCAACATAAAATCAAGAGTAAATTACACATAATGAAGGAATGTGGAAGATTCCGAAGAGGATATGAGGGCCTATATTTGCAGAAATTTAGGATTCATGGGGAATTCTTCTCCCAAATCCACGGTTCCAGGATCATCCATAATGATCTGTGGGTCTTCCATCCCAGTGTTAGCTGAGCTGTCTCTAGCAGATGTATTGGACATTTGGTGAAAGGGGTAGCTGTGAGGAACAGCACTAACTTTCAATGGGGCTGTTCAGGGAGTCTGGAGAGGAGCACTCCACAGAATTCAGAAGCTCTGACTATGCTGTTGTCTCACCTTCAGAACCACAGCCCTGGTAGATTTGAATAAAGGGGCTTCAGTGGGCAATGGTGGAGAGAATGCCATACAACTACTATTTCCTTGTTCTGATCTCCCCAGTCTGGCTTTCCTACACTCCTGTTACTTAGCAAGTATTGTTCCCTCTAATATTTTTAATGAGAAAATATTACCTGTTTATTTAGCTTGGTTGTTAAAATAATGTATGTCTTGCTTTCACTCATTTTTTGACAAAGAAACTCACTACTGAAATGTCCCAAACCTTCAGATAATCAGAGGGTTAAAACATCAGAGAATGCTAAGTTCTTCAGTCCCAGAATGCAGAAGTTACTTCCCTCAAGCTGTTCTTGATTGCTGGTCAGCAGGGATGCCAACTATCACTAAAGTCACAGGCAGTCCAAAAAAAATTGGACCTGTCCATAAAACCCATAAAAAACACTTGCATATCAGTAAAAAAAAATCCCAAAACACTGAGCTTTGCAGTGGACCTGAAGAGTCCCTCCCTCTTGATCCTGGGGTGAGCGCCACAACACAGGTCAGCCCTAGGGCAGCTAAACTTCTCAGGGGAGGAGGGGCAGAGGGAAATTTTTCATAGGGGAAGCAACTAGGCAAGGGACTCGTCAACTCTCTGACAAGCTTTTGCTTATTGGAGAGTTGACTAGTCACTTACAGTCCTACTGAGCATCCAAATTATAATTTAAAGTCAGTGGAAGATGCACGTGCTCATGACCTATAAAAGTCAGGTTCTAGGTATCTAACATTGGGCCCTCAGATATTGGCACGCCCTAAATTAGAAGCTGTCCAATAATGTGATCCTACCTAACTTGTCTTGGGTCACATGATGACTCAGCAGAATAGTCAAGAATTGAATCAGAGGGTGTGTCTAGACTACAGGGTTTTGTCGACAAAAGTGGACTTTTGTCGACAAAACTAAACCTGCATCTACACTGCCACTGAGTTTTGTCGACATAACGTCGACAGAACTCAGCAGTTTTGTCGACGCTGGTAAACCTCATTTTACGAGGAATAATTCCTTTTGTTGACAGAGTTCTGTTGACAGAAGGCGTTATTGCATCTAAACTGTCCTTTGCGTCTACACTGCCATGTCAACAAAGCAACTTGCTTTGTCGACAGAACTGAATGTAGTCTAGATGCTCTTTGTCGACAGAAGCTTTGTCGACAGTATCTGTCGACAAAACTTCTGTCGTCAAAAGCCTGTAGTCTAGACGTACCCAGAGAGTCCTGTTTCCTAAAATGCTACTAGGGCACTTTACATTTCCACTGTTCGTCTGATTTGTAAAATTGGAGAGGCAGATAATAATACAGGTTGAACCTCTAGTCCAGCACTCTCTGGTCCCTCAACATCCATGATCCAGCATGATTTGAGTTAGCCAGATGTCCAGTCATCATGGGGGTGGCCGAGTTTCCCCTGGTCCAATAAAGTTGATTGTGTGCTGGCTCTCAGTGTTCTGTGCTGTTATTTATTTCTACTTTACCCCTAAATGTCTTAGAGCCCAGGAACCAGTGTAAGTGTTGGTAATGTTGCTAGACAATATTGCCCTCCTGTGGTTCAGCAAATTCTCCAGTTCAGCACCAGTCAGTACCCGAGGGTGCCAGACTAGAGAGGTTCAACCTGTATTTATGAGGACTTTTCTGGTATACCTTATTATTTTTGTGGATTTTAATACTAAATTGTTTGCTAACCTCTAGCAAAGTGATTAGTTTTGTCCCCATAGGATCCAGAAATTCCTATTCCATAGGAAAAAGATGATGGAATGGAGTGTAAGTAGAACTGCAGGTTCATAGACATTAACAAAGGAGGATAGTAACACTCTCATACTTTCAATGCAGCTTACAAATAGGGACCCTTCCAACATGTGTTAGATATAGTTTAATAGGGTATGTCTACACTACAAAGTTAATTCTAACTAACGGATGTTAGTTCGAATTAACTTTGATAGGGGCTACACTAGCGCTCCGCTAGTTTGAACTTAATTCGAACTAGCGGAGCGCTTAGTTCGAACTAGGTAAACCTCATTCCACGAGGACTAAGCCTAGTTCGAACTTACTAATTCAAATTAAGGTCTGTGTAGCCCCTTAATTCGAACTAGTGGGAGGCTAGCCCTCCCCAGCTTTCCCTGGTGGCCACTCGGGGCACCACCAGGAAAACTCGTATGCCCCCCTCCTGGCCCCGGAGCCCTTAAAGGAGCACGGGCTTGCTACGGTGCCCGTGCCAGGTGCAAGCCTGCCAGCACCCAGCCAGCAGACCCTGCACCTGGCACGGATCGAGCCACCCACCCGATGCCCCCCAGCCCTCTGCCTCTTCCCGGGACCAGGCTGGCAGCTCCCAGGAGCTTGCCCAGGACCGCAAGAGGCGGGCACCCGCCTGGTC